TTCTGCATTTTTTATCATGACATTAAGTATTTAAGATTTTGGAACCTGGGCAAATAAAAATCAATTACTGGCATAAGTAATTTTTAATATTTTCTGCATTTTTTTATCATGACATTAAGTATTTAAGATTTTGGAACCTGAGCAAATAAAAATCAATTACTGGCATAAGGTGTTCATGTATAGACCTTTGAGAACTCTGGCAATAACGCCACTGCATTAAAGTCTTCATTCTAATATGAAATTATGTGACACATTTAGCATAAGAATGGACAGTGGACGTACCAGGACTTCTTGAATCCCTCAAGCAGGTAGGAGATTCCATATGCAGCAGGGCTTCAGCAGCTTCAATTGTTTTATCAGTACAGGGTGTATTACTGCTATGAACTGATGCTTCCACTGTGAGAATAAATAGTTCTCAATTAAAAATGAATGAAACACACTAACAAATACTGATGTCCATGTGAATAATTCTATATAAGCCATTTTATAACAATTCTATAATTCTAAAACAATTACTTAAGTAACTTAAAAACTCAAATATACTATTATCTATACTTGGTAGAATGAATGTTGATTTTAAAAGCAACCAACAAGCCAGGAAAGGCAGTGAATGCTTGTAATCCTAGCACTTGGAAAGCTAACGCAGAAGATGGTACTTTCTTCAGTCACCTTCTTTTCAGAACCTCATGGACTTTACTAGGTTTTAGCTAAGAAATGTATGTATAGAGAGATGGATGGATGAATATTTACCATGAAGCCTTTTCTAATTCAACTATCCTCCTGCCCCCTTTCTGTATATTTTTTTAAAAAATATTTTATTTTTTATTGTATGTGTATGAGTGTATTGCCTGTATGTGTATAAGTGCACCTGTGTTGGGGCAATGCCCACAGAAGTTAGAAGAGGGCACTGGATCCCCTGGAACTGGAGTTATGCACGGTTTTTAGCCACTATATGGGGGCTGGGAATCAAACCCAGGTCCCCTACAAGAGCAGTCAGTGCTCTTAACTGCTAAGCCATTTCTCCAGCCCCATCTCTTCATATATTTCTTTCATACTTTGCTATTAAGTGACTTCTCAAATGGTAAAGTCCACCAAGTAAAAGTTTGTGCCAGGTATAGTGGCTCACACTTTTAATCCCAGCACTCAGGAGGCAGAGGCAGTCTCTGTGATCAAGGGCAGCCTGGTCTACATAGCTAGTTCCAGAGTAGAGACCCTGTCTGCAAAACCAAACAAGTAGAGGTTTGTGCTTTCAGATCTAACAGCTTGGGTTCTAGTCCGCACTTAGGCAAGCCACTTAATCTCTTATGCCTCAGTCTCCTCTTTCATAAAACAGGACTATTGCTTCAAAAATTATATGCAGTGCCTGGCATATAAATAAGAACTCAGTAAATGATGATTTCTCATTCCTGTAAAACTGTAAGATCCTTGAGTTAAGGGGGCTATCTTAACCTAACTTTGTATTCATGACTGATTTGCTCTGGTTTTTACAAGATGCAGGGGACAAAACCCACAGCCACCCACACTGCTAGGCAAGTGCTCTACACTAAGCTACATCTCTAGCCCTGAACTTTCTAAGTAGTAAGGCACATGAATATTTCTTTTATTTATCAAATAAAAGATAACTCCTGATCTTGAGGGAAAATTAGCAAGTCAAGAATTCATTATCTTAGTGATTCATTTATTTTACACTCTGACTTACTTATCTACGGAATAATTTATTTGGTTAGAGGTTCTGAAACATAATAGTTTCTAATTTGATTGGTTTTTCTCAAGATGTTCCCCTCAAGGAGCTTTTGTAAATGTCTACACAAATTTCATAAAATCATACGACAAATCCACAAGTTTCACATAGTACAGATATAAATCTTCTGAAACGGTTCTCAGGAAACTTTTAATTGGGAAAAGAAACCTGCTTAAGCCATGAAATTAACCAAACGCTAAAACCTCAGCCTTAAAAACCCAGTCACTTGCAGAGTGTTTATTTTAAAAATCCAGGGACTGTTTTAGCACCTGTTGCACATCATCCACACTCTCAAGCAAGGTACTGGGTCTCTCCAGTTGCTCTTTCCATTTATGGAAATCTGCTCAAAGCTAACTGGTTCCGGAGAGGCAGCCAAACCTCTAAGTAAATCTATCTTTAGGTGACCCTGCTTACTCTTATCTGCAGCTTCAGTGAAGCAAAGGATTCACTCAGCCCTTCTAGTCCAACTTTAGAATGAAGTACAAAAGATATTTATTCTCTAGTATTGTTTGCAAAGGGCTTCTCTACAAGACCTACATGCATTAATGATCCTCAGAAAGCAAATACTCAGGTTTTAAAAATTAATCTGGGAGCCATTCTCTTTAAAGTCACCTTAGTGTTGCAATGTAGCTGTTGTCGTAGGCACTATTAATAAACCATACTTGGTAAACTAATTATATAATTTTATTAAGATATACTCTAAAAACACTACTGTATTACAAGAGCTTGTGTGTTTAATAATTACACAGCAATAGAACTCTACCACATTTTAATTTATTTCAGATATAAACAACCAAAAAATAAAAGGAAAAATCTTGCCTTAAATTCTTAAGTAGTTTAAGGTGCATTTTCAAACCATTGTTTCATATTATGTTAGTAAAAATGAATTTTTATTCTGTTCTGGTTTCGTTTCGCTTTTTTTTTAAGTTTTTTGATTTGTTTTTATTTTATGTGTATGAGTATCCTGAATGCCAAGAATGTTAGTGCAGTCAGAACACTTGAACACAAAACATGTATGCATGTGCATGCGATACCCAAAGAAGTCAGAAGAGGGCATCAGATTCCCTGAAACTGGAGTTAAGACAGTTAGCAGTCGTGTGGGTCCTGGGAACCAAACCCAGGTCCTCTGCAAAAGCAGCCAGTGCTCTTCAATGCTGAGCCAGTGTTTCATGTACCCTAAGCTGGCCTGGAACTCAAGATATAGCTGAGACCTTTAACTCTTGATGTTCCTACCTCTGCTTCTTTAAAAGTCCCGAGATTGCAGGGGTGTGCTACCATACCCAGCTCAAATTAGTTTTTTTAAGTATATTTTCTTTTTTTTTTTAATATTTTATTTATTATTTTTTTTATTTTATGTGTATGAGTGTATTGCCTGCCTGCATGCAGGTAAGTGCACCCGTTGTGGGTGCTGAGAATCGAACCCGGGTCCTCTGCAAGAGCAGTCAGTGCTCTTAACCGCTGAGCCATCTCTCCAGCCCCAAGTATATTTCCTTTTTAAAAAAAGATTTATTTGCCAGGTGTGGTGGTGCACGCCTTTAATCCCAGCACTCGGTAGGCAGATGCAGGCGGATCTCTCTGAGTTCAAGGCCAGCCTGGTCTACATAGTGAGTTCAAGGACAGCTGGGGCTACAGGGAGACCCTGTCTCAAAAAGACCCACAAAAAAAAAAAAAATTATTTTTATTTTACATGAGTGATTTGCCTGCATGTATATATGTGCACCACATGCATGCACTACTCACAGTGGCCCAAATATGGTCTCAGTTCCCCTGGAACTAGGGTTACTGGTCATTGTGACCTACCCTGTAGGTGCTAGGAGCCAAGTCCAGGTCCTCTGGAGGAGGAGCAATTGCTCTTAACTGCTGAGCCATCATCTCTCCAGTCTTCTAAAGTGTATTTTCTTGCTTAGACTTCTGACCTCAACCTTCCCTTTCCCCAAATATTTTTACATTATATCCCAAAAATATTTTCAACTTTACTAATATTTTCAATTTATTAAAATATATTTTCACATACAATGTAAATATCCAGAATTTATGAGTTAATAAGTATATGGATGGTGAGATGGATCAGTGGTTAAAAGCAATGGCTTTTCTAGCAGAGGAGCCAGGTTCGATTTCCAACACCCACATGGCGGCTAACCACCACCTGACACTCCATTCCAGGGAATCCATCACCCTCTTCTGACCTCTGCAGACATTGCAAGACATGGGTGCACTTGCACACACGCAGGCAATACACTCATACGTATAAAGTAATAATAAACAAAATATCTAAAAATAAACACTTAAGTACAAGCAGAGTGTGGTAGCACATGCCTTTAATCCCAGCACTAGGGAGGCAGAGGCAGATTGATCTCTGTAAACTCAAAGCTAGTCTGGTCTACATAGTGAGTTCCAGGCCAGCCAGGGCTCCATAGTGAGACCCAGTCTATTAAAAAAAAAAATCAATGTAGTTGAGTGGTTATCATGTGCCAAAAACGCTGTGCTACAAACCTGAGCTACATGTCTAAATACATTCTCCGTCTTCCTGAAGTTTAAGAGTCGGAGAACATTATCAAAACTTAAATGTAAGTGTGAAATAATCTCACATTACTCTGTAATCTAACAGCTTGTGAAAAGAGACCAGTGATTTCTATCTTTTGAAGCTTACTGTTTTTATATCTTACCATATTCATCTCCAGCTCAATACTAAATATAAATAAAAGTCTAAAAGTCCATTGTCAGACCAATTAAAAATAATGTAATGACAGCGTCCACAAATATTTTAACCATTTTGTAAGTTTTTGTAAAAAAAAAAAAAATTTATAGTTCTGTTGACCTGTCAAGTATTTTTTAAAACAATCTGATAACAAAAATTAAAGAAATACTTTTCCTGTTCATTTCTGCAATTAAAAACAAAAATCCAACACTATTTTGTTCATCAATAACTCAAACAGAATTTAAAACTGCATGTTTCTAAATATAAACATCAATTTAACAGTGCTGTGTAACCAAAGTAGGCAAACTAAAAGCAACAGTTGAAAAATAAAATTCCTCTCTCTTCCTTAAAACTGATTTGGAAATATACTTTCTAGATCCACGTATGAAATTCACAGAAAGCAAAAAACTGGACAGGAATAATTTCCTAGCAGTTGAAATTGCTGGTCAGGCCTCCTTGAAGAAATAATGTGTCAAATACACTTCAAAAACTAGTGCCATAAATAAAAGTTGCTTATGCTTTCATTTACTATTTGTAAAACTATGTCTGTTCCATTTCTATCTTTCTAATCAACTGGTGTTTGTATGGTAGACTATTCCAGACTCACTCGACAGCTGTTACAAAATACCAAACTTGGTAATTAAGCCTGACAAGAAGCATACCTCCCAGCTTTGCATAAGAGAATGCTGGCAATGGATCCAGCTCATAACAATGTTCTCAAGTCAGGAATAAAATTTACTAGCAATGTAGATTGAGAGCAATGGAAAAAATGAGAAAACATTTCATTAAGTGATAGTGGTTTTCCCTTAAAACAACTCCATAAACTAGTATTTACAAGGTCATCACTCAAGTTCTATACCAATTTACCACAGCTTATCCTCTAATGCCCCAGAGCTCTAGCAGTGACAGTATAAGTTACAAATTAATGCAATGAAGAAGAGGGAAGGGAGTCTGGAA